ACCCCCCCGCCGCTCCCCTTAGAGTGCTGAAACCAGCGAATCGCCTGAGACATCCTCCAAATCTGCTCCGAAAGCGAAACATGTTGGAAGAGAAAATGGCCAAACCGCCTGAGACATCCCCACAAAATCCCGCGAAAGGGGCCGAGTGCAACACCCCCCCGCCGCCCCCCTTAGAGTGCTGAAACCAGCGAATCGCCTGAGACATCCTCCAAATCTGCTCCGAAAGCGAAACATGTTGGAAGAGAAAATTGCCAAACCGCCTGAGACGTCCCCACAAAATCCCACGAAAGGGGCCGAGTGCAACACCCCCCGCCGCCCCCCTTAGAGTGCTGAAACCAGCGAATCGCCTGAGACATCCTCCAGATCTGCTCCGAAAGCGAAACATGTAGGAAGAGAAAATGGCCAAACCGCCTGAGACATCCCCACAAAATCCCGCGAAAGGGGCCGAGTGCAACACCCCCCCGCCGCTCCCCTTAGGAGTGCTGAAGCCACAGAATCGCCTGAGACATCCTCAACATCAGTGTGCGTGAGTCATCCGATGAGTGGACCTGAGTGAGTGTAGTGAATGTATGAGTACAAGTACGAGTGAGTCTGAGTGATGAGTGAGTCTGAGTGATGAGTGAGTCTGAGTGATGAGTGAGTCGGAGAGATGAGTCTGAGTCATGCCTGAGTCCGAGTGATGAGTGAGTCTGAGTGATGAGTGAGTCTGAGTGATGAATGGATCTGAGTGATGAGTGAGTCTGAGTGATGAGTGAGTCTTCGTGATGAGTGAGTCTTCGTGATGAGTGAGTCTGAGTGGGTCTGAGTGAGAGGAGTGGTGTGTTCTCGTCTGTGTTCTCCTCCGGCGCGGTCCGCCAATAACAAGAACCCCATACTTAGGAGATGGGGAATAACAAGAACCCCATCTTAGGATATGGGGGAAAATCGTAGATGTCCAAAGGGAAACTGCTATGTTTGGCGTGTTTGCCTTTTGGGGTCCACTGCGTCCAACACGGCCCAAGAGGCACCCCAGACGGTCGAGGATGCCCCCAAGAGGGCTCCAAGACGGCCCACGACGGGGGCCAAGACGGCCCACGAGACGCCTAAACCGCCCAACAACGCCCCCAGTCGGCGCTCACGACGGGGACGAGACACCGAAAATGTAAGCCATGTGGCCCAAGAGGCCCCCAGGAGACCCCAAGAGGCTCCAGGAAACGCCCAAGAAGCCCCAAGAGGCCCCCAAGAGACCCGCAAAACACAAAAAGAGGCCCCGAACACGCCCCAAGGGCCACCCCAATAGAGCTCCACGTAAGCAAACATGGTCCATTTCCCATGGGAAACCTGAATTTTTTGGCGTGTTCGCCTTTTCCGCTTCCAACGCGTCCAAGACGGCCCAGGAGGCACCAAAGCCGGTCGAGGATGCCCTCAAGAGGGCTTCAAGACGGCCCACGAGGGGGGCAAGACGGCCCCCGAGGCGCCCAACCCGCCCAAGAACGCCCCGAATCGGCGCCCAAGACGGGGACGAGGAACCAAAGATTCGAGTGCTTCGGCCCAAGAGGCCCCCAGGAGACCCCAAGAGGCTCCAAGAAGCGCCCAAGAAGCCCCAAGAGGCCCCCAAGAGACCCGAACAAAAAACCAAATCATGCTCCGAAACAGCCCCCGAATGGGCCGGCCCAAGAGAGCCCCAGAGCGCGCCCAACAGGGTCGACCAGAGCGCTGGTCCGACTTCCATCACTCTACACAGGGTCCGTCCCCGGCGGTGTCTCAAGCAGGTGTTGCCACTGGAGTCCTCCTTTGCATAATGTTCTTGGTCAGCCGTCCGACCTGTTGCAGTCTGGCTAGCATAGGAGGAGGAGGAGGAGGAGGAGGAGGAGGAGGAGGAGGAGGAGGAGGAGGAGGAGGAGGAGGAGGAGGCGGAGGCGGAGGCGGAGGCGGAGGCGGAGGCGGAGGCGGAGGAGGAAGAGGGGGTCAGGATGGGAGGGGCGGAGGAAGCTGGACGCGAGGGGTGGGCCGCTCCTCGAGCGCGGTCTGACGTGGACTCCGAGGCGGATCCAGCCGTGACAAAAAGGTGTACGAGGGGGATAATGTCTCTTTGCATCCCTCCTCCACGCGGCAATCCGTGTACGAGAGGGATCTCGTCACTCTGCAGCGCTCTTTCACGCAGCATTCAGAGAGAGAGAGAGAGACAAAGGTTTCTTTTCATTGCGCAGTTCCCCTCCACGCGACAAAAAGGTGCACGAGGGGGATTATGTCTCTTTGCGTCCCTCCACGCGGCATTCAGCGTGCGAGAGGCTTTGTTTCACTGCGCAGTCCTCCTCCACGCGACACAATGGCGTACAAGGAGGATGTTTTTTTGTTTGTTTTTGTTTTCTGCATCCCTCCACGCGGCAATCCGTGTACGAGAGGTATTTGCCATTCTGGAGCCCTCCTCCACACGACAACTCGCGCACGAGAGGCGCAGTCCTCTTCTACGCGACAATTTGCGAACGAGGAGGATTTTGTCTCTCTGCACCCCTCCACGCGGCAATCCGTGTACGAGAAGGATCTGTCGTCATGCAGCCCCCTTCACGCGGGAATTCGTGTATGAGAGGGACTTCGTCATTCAGCAGCCTTCCACATTTTGCAACCTTCTTGGGCTCCTCGTCGAGCCCTCTTGGGGCGCTTTGTGGGGCCCTTTGGGGTCCCTCTCGGAGGCCTGAGGGCCCTCTTGGAACCATCTTGAAGGCCATCGATCAGGCAGGGGGTGATGCCCCAATCGGGGTCTGAAAAATCACTTCTTGGGCCGCTTTTGGGCAACTCTTGAGGCGGCCTTTTCTGCTCTCGGAGCTTTATTTCGCTCCTGCTGGATCCCTTTGGGGGCCGACTTGGGCCCATCTTGGAGCCGCCTCCTGGCCTTCAGAAACGATCAGAATCGGCACTGGGAGGAGGCAAACATCATAATGTTTCGAACGCTTCGGAAGGAGTTCGATTTCTTGTAAGTTTCCCTGGGGTGCTCGGGTGGCACTGCGGGCCGTCTGGGGCTGGTATTGAAGGCTTTTGGGGGGCGTGTTGGTGAAATCTTGAACCAGTTTGGCACACTCTGAACGATCTTTGAAGCCCATCTTTGGGTTCGTGGGGGCCTTCTTGGAACCTTTTGGGGCCATCATTGACGCTCGAACGGCCCTCCGAACGCCCTCGTCCAGGGGGAGGGTGTCGGGGTAGGGGGTAGGGGAAGGCCCCCGCCTCGAAAGGGATGAGGGGAGGGCCGTTGGGACTCTTCTTCGTCATCCCTCCTCGTCCGGATGACTCGGCGGGTCCCACCTCGGCCTCATTCTCCGTCTTCTCGGGCGCCTTCGCCATTGCTCATGGTGTTGGTGATGCCGCGGCTGATGTTGCTCGGGGCCTTCGGTTCCCTGGTTGTCTGAAGCAGACTGCCACTCACATGAGCATCATGCCACCCTGCTGTCAGGCAGCACAATCCGGCATTCAGACGTTGCCCAGGTCTGAGGTTGAGCCTGAGCGTGCGCGAAGCGCGCGCGATGGTTCTATATATATATATATATATATATATATATATATATATATATATATATAATATGTATATATATATATATACATGAAATGGGTAGGGGGTCCCAGGCCCTCCAAAGTGCACTGATTTATCTTCCGGCCGTTTCGGGCCCTGCGGGGGGCGCCAACAAACGTCAAGGTGGCCGAGAGACGTCCAAGAGAGCGCCAAGATGGCCCAAGATCGCTCCAAGAGAGCCCAAGACCGCACAAAAGCGTTTCAAAATTGGTCCAACATGGCTTGAAGACAGCCAAAGAGGGCTTCAAGACGGCCACCAACATGCACCCAAAAAGGGCTCCACGACGCACAAGAGAGCCCCAAGACCGCCCACGAGCGCCCCAAGACGGCCCACTAGGCGCCCAAGATCGCCCAAGAGGGCCCCAAGACGGCCCCAAGAGGGGCCCAAGAGGGGGAACACGAGCCGACCATTCGAGCCTTCCGCCCCAAGAGGCTTCCAGGAGGCCCCAAGAGGTCCCCAACAGAGCCCTAGAGCCCTAGAGGCCCCAGGGCCCATGAGTCCCCAAAGGGGCCCAAAAAGACGCCCCACGAGCACCCCAAACGGCCCCCAAGAGGCCTCCAAAATTGCCTTCAAGTGGCCCCCAGGAAGCCTCCCACGAATCCCAAACGAACTTCCAAGGGACCTCTAACCCACAACCCAGGCACGGTGGCGGGATGGGCCGAAGGCCACTATCGAGAACGTGAACCGAGAACCCGAGATCTTCGCCCCAGGAGACCCCCAGGAGGGGTCAAGAGGTCCCCAAGAAGCTTGGCGACAGATCACCAGTCGACAGGTCAATGAGCGGAGGAGGAGGCATGAGGAAGAGGCGGGAGGAAACAGGGAATGTTGGCTTCATTGTTCATGACCGCCTTGTTGTCTCAATGCGGTCAGCACTCGAGCTAGAACCTAAGCGCGCGCGAAGCGCGCGCGCGATGGTTCTAGTGTATATGTGTGTTGGCACGCTTTGGGGGCTTCTTCCCCCGCTCGTGTCCACGGCTGCACGCTGCTCGAAGAACTCGCCAGGATAGACCTTGGCAGGGGTCCTGGGACGGAGTCTGAGCAGATTTTGGCCCTGGGCCGGACGATGGGGCGGCCTTCAAGATGGCAGGAAGGTCATCGCAATCCCTCCCGTCTTCCAAAACACCTCTCCAGATCGAAGCCTTCGGCGCCGTCCCAGAAGCTCTGTGCCTTCTCGGACGGCTGGCCCCCTTCAACCAACCAATTTCCTTGCGCCGCGGGTTACCAATCAAATCAGATCCCCGAAGGTGTTCGAAAATGTTCGGATGGTGTTCATGATTTCTGTATGGATTCGGATGGTTGTCGAACGCGTTCGGCATTTCGTTGCCGCACCTGTTCGGAACAGTTTGAAGGAGTTGTTTCAGACATGTTCATAGGTGTTTCCTCAGCTCTCCGATGGCTCCGATGGTTCCTGCATGCCCTTGCGCGGTGTCACTCTGCCTGTGGGGATTCGCACAGGACTGATCCAGCAGGTTTCTGGACGATCCTCAAGGCTCTTCGGGTGTCTCCAACTGCACAGTCGGGACGCTGGAGAAGGAACCCTTCTCGTTGGGGAGGGGCTCGGTGTTCCTTGACAGTTTCACAGCTTGCCTCAGGTTTTCCTCGTGTTTTCGATGGGGAATCGAAGTTTAACTTGTGGAAAGTAGGGGGCCTCGTTCCTTATTTTGGGTTCCTTCGGTCAACGCCCCGACTGTACTCGGATGCTTCCTCCGGCAGCCTCGCCTCCGTGCCCAAGCGGTGCCACGGGTGGCCCTGGCCCACTTGGGTGGCCATAGCAGGGGGTGTGTGTCTCCCGACCCTCCTGGTCGGGTGGTGGTCACCACCGCGATGATGACGATGATGGTGACGATGATGATGGTGGTTGTGATGATGATGGTCACGATGAGATGATGATGGTAGCGGTGGTTGGCGATGATGATATGCTGATATAATGACATGGTGATGATATGGTTATGATGACGATAGTCGCAGTGAGTTGGTAACGATTGCGAGAAGATGGTTATATTATATGATGTTCCTTGTGGTTGCAACGAGTATGCTGTTAATGTGGAGGTGATGTTGGTCATGAGCGCCATGTTGTTGTGATGTCTGACATGTTGATGATTGTACGTTAATGGTGGGTTAACGTGTTGCTCGTGTCTATGATGATGTTGGTGTGCGGTTGTTGTTGGTGGTGATGTGTAACATATGATGGTTGCAGAACCAAAAAACAGTCAACCGCACCGCCAACAGCATATCCATATCATCATCAACTACAGCACCACCAACAGCAGGACCACATCCACAGCAAATACACCATAACACGCAACATTACCACACGCGTACAACACAATCGACGTCATCAACACCATTATGGCCATCATCACGATGACCACAGCTGTATATCATCATATCAACGCCATCATATCACCATCGTATCGCAGACGTCCGAAAACAATTCAGAAAACAAAAGCACAGCATTAAATGTGAACATCAACATTAACACAATTGCCTTCACATTGCTCCGCCGCCGTTTGAGGACCAATCTGTGCCAGGGCGTATTGATTTGATACTGAGACTTCGACCATATGGTTTGCATAGTAGCAGATGTTGGTTTCTCTAAAAGGCCGGGGGCTCAGTTAAACATGATTAGGTTGACTGCGATGGGTGTGCATATCAAAGTTGCCAACGCGTTTTGTTTGGGTCATACGTTGGATTGCGCATCAATTGACAAAGGTGGTGATAATGTCAAACATATTTTGCCCGAGCGAATATAAAAACATCCTCAAGCAAGACAAAGGATCAGACTTTTCTGTCGGGCCCTACAATCAGATGGTATGGGGGGCCGTTCGTGGACAGCTACCAAATGTGGCGATGATTACATTATGCAGGGAAACTGACCTGGACGCAATTGGAGACATTCACAAGGCAGTGGCGAAATCGAAGTCTTGGGCGATGACAGCCCCCATGAGTGATTTGCCTTTCACGTGGTCCCCAAAACAATGCAATTGGGAAGATGAGGAGGGCGATGAAGTTTGTCTCAATGCTGGGCAGAAGCAGGTTGCAATAGTTTCGGGGGAGCAATCATTATGGGTTGGGCCTACATTTCAGAATGGAAGATTCGACGTCGTGGCCGCAGTCCGCCACGCTTTCTCATGCAATCATACGGTCGTATTTCTTGGAGAATATGATTGCGCATTGAGCGCAGGGATCATGACAGCAGTAAAGGATGACTACCAGGAGGCGGTTCGTGAGCGAGCGATTGCAGACCCCGACATGGAAGACGATGCCATTCAGCATGAGAAGCGTCACTGGGGTAGCAGCCAAGATGCTTGGACGTATGCTCAGTACTTGGAGCATGTGCAGTCCCAGAGGCCTTACGACCACATCGACCATCAAGGGTTGTTTGCGGCTTCTTTGTGGAAGAAAGCGAAGCCGCAGCGGTGAGTGATATTCAGCGCGGTTTCAAGTATTCGCCCTAGCCCAGAAAAAAAATCGCTGCTTTGTTGCGTTGCCCATCCGAGGCATTCCAGCCAGCACAGCAGGCCATGCATGTTGATTATGTGCGTGCAGTGTGCAGCGAGCTACCAATGCGATTTGCACGGGTGCACGTATGTATTTAATCTCGCTTCGCCCTCACATGGAGGCGATGTGCGTCACATTTGTAGCATGCGTGACATATGGAAAGCATGAGGTTCATAACATCAGCATGCCTGTGGCCCAAACTGGGTCGGCGATGTGGTATTTTGGTATGGTGCGTTTGCGATGAGTGTTGCTCAGGGTCTTTGGCCTTGAAGTGATGCACCAGGGTCGTAGGCCTTGGAACAGCAATTGCGCCCATAGGTTCTGCAGCTCGTACGGCGGTTGCGCAGATGGAGTGACAGTGCAAACATTGCTCCCAATATCGCCCCTATCCTTTTCCATCACCTGGCTCCTCTCCCCCGTCTCCTCGCCCCTAATCCCTCCGCCCCCTCGTCCCTGCCCGTCCCTCCCCCCCCTCCATCCCCTCCACCTCCGTTCTCATCCTCTTCCTCATCCTCCTCAGACCTCCGAGGTCCTTCTCCCCCCGCCGACGGCGACTCCAACATCAAACAGCTCAACAGCAAACAGCTTAACATCCCAACGCCAAACAGCTGAACATCAAACGACCGAAGCACATTATCCCAACATCAAACAGCTCAACATCCTCCTCGTCAGCCTCCTCCGAATGAGTGCAAGTGCTGTTTGGGTCGCAAAAGCCGCTTCGGCGCGAGACCCATTATTGGCTTCAGAGTTTCCAGGACATCATTGCCGGGGCCCTTTCATCAGATGGGGCGTCGTAAGAGATCGGTTTCAATGAAGCGCAAGAGCACGTTTTTGTTTCACTGTTGCGCAGCCCGATCAGCTGAAACATACTGGTCTGAAAGCTGTGGGGAGCAGACGCATGCTGACTGTGCAGCCCGATCAGCAGGAACATACTGGTCTGAAGCTGTAAGAGGCTTCCACACGCGGGCATTAAATCTCTGAGTATGCTACCTCCTCACACGTTGTCGAAGCTGGGGGCGTTAGGCCATGGGCCTCTCATAGCCCTGCTTTGTGCCATACACTGCTCCCTAGCCTGACACATGTTAGCCTCGATGCTGCACATGTGGTTTTCCTGGGTCCAGAGGGTCTCTACAAGCAAATTGCGATAAGACGCCACATCTGGAGGAAAGACGAGAGGCCCGTAGTCTCCAATCAACATCTTCCTGGCCTGGTAGAGTTCAAGACGATGGTCCGCAAACGTGCTATTCACCATAAGGATCGTCTTCGCCATGCAATCCAGGAATGCTGAAGTACTTCGGAGGACGCCGACCCCCCTTTCAAGGTCTCTCTTAGCATGCGCTTTCTGTGTGGCCTCCTCATTGTCATCACGGCGCTGCCGCTTGCCATCATAAGAGTCACTCTCTGGCTCGATCCCCCCACATTCTCCTCCTCCTCCTCCTCTTCCCCCTCCTCCTCTTCCTCCTCGTCATCTTCCTCCCTCGCGCGCAAGTGCTGCTTGGGTTGCCGCAGCCGTTTTGGCGCCAAACCCTTCCTGAGGAGCTTGCAATCCTCTGTTTTCTCTCTTCGAGTCTGACTGTCTGAGAGCATGGCGCCCAGGGGCCAGGCTTCTTCTAAGAGGGCGACCCCCAAGGCGGCTGGCGCCCAGCCGCCCGCCCGCGGCCGCGGCCGCGGCCGTGGTGGCCGGGGCCGCGCCGACGACGTGAAGGCGGAGCCGCCGGCGGCGGAGGTCGCGCCTGGGCTGGAGGACGCGTCCTTCGACAGCGTCGCGAGGGGGGCAGGCGGAGTCGGCACGAGAGGCGTGGCGGCCGGCGCTGTCGCAGCCAGCCTGGGTGGGAGCCTCGGCAGCGTCGACAGTCTTGTCACGGACGAGGGGTCGCCTTCCTCGGTGCGGTCGCAGTCCAGGCAGGCCCCTGGTGCGACTGCCAGCAGCTCAAGCGGAATCACGCAAAGCATGAACAACTCTCTGATGAGCCGCGTCACGGCGGCCAAGCAGATGATCGTGGGCCACCAGGACATGGGCAACGTCGGCACGAGCCTTCCGCTGCCGCTGCCTTCGCGCGAACAGACGGACGTCAGCCTGACGTCAACGATCGCGCCCTTCGATAACGATACCAGCCAGGCGTGCCTGAATACAGCTAAGACGTACGGCCCAGTTGGATTCAACATCTTCAAGTTGGACTTGCACGGCAACCCCGCGAAACGGGCCCACGCGAATCTCAACGAGCTGAACTCTCTGATCGACGTGGTCTACCAGAACGGATTCAAGGGCAATTTCCCCTCGACGTTCACGGCGACGGTCAGCATCACGGACCCTGCCGTTCCCATCGCGGATATGTTCGGCAGCTTGGTGACGGCCTCCCCCCCCGAGATCATCTGGGCCGTCATCATCGGATCGGCCAAGCTTCTCGAGACCAGCCCCACGCCGGAGCAGGTGGCCATGCTGAAGCGCGCGCTGATCACCTTCCCAGTCACCTTCAACGTCGTCGACGGAGGACCGCCGGGGCAGCAATACCCCGCCCGAGTGCGCTCGTGCATCACGGGCGGCCTTGCCTCCACATGCCCTCTGTAGATTGGGTTTCACATGTTTTTGATATATCAGGTTTGTATGTTGTTGCGTTGTTGCTTTAATGTCGTTTTTGGCTACTTCAAGCATCGAGTGAAAACGCAGACTAGATGCAACTTTGCCCAGGGCTTGTTATTGGTTTGCGCGTGATGTATGTTCGGCACGTCTCCCAGGAATGGACTCGTACTGGGCGGCCCATGGGTTGCGCGAGAGCATCGCCGGCATGGGTGACGCGGTCAAGCGCGCGGCAAAGCAGAGATTCTTCGACGTCATGGAGAGCAAGGATGTGATCGAGACCTCTGTCGGGCATGAGGTGGGCGCGCAGAAAACGGCCAAGATGTGGGCCGAGAAGGTATCCATGGCACCGAGCTCAGAGAAGATTTCGGACACGTACGTGGACGCTTGCTTTACTGTGGGGGCCAGGCTCATGAACAACCCCTATACGCAGAAGATCGCGGTGGAGGGCGACTCTACTGGGGTGACGCCTTTCGACAGCATTTACAAGTACGAGGCAGTGGTGAAGAGGGCGCAATCGAGTAGCCTGATCCACTGGTGCACTGCTGGGCTGCTGGACCTGGTGACCTCCAAGATGACATCGGTGGGTGAAATCAGCCTTCGCCAGCTGACTGGTCGGGGACTCCCAGGGGGGAAAGGACTGCTAGACCTGCTGATTGCCAAGAACGAGCTCGGGCACTGCTTCATCACGAAATTTCGGGCGATGGGTCTCAACGCAGGGGCGCTCCAACGGATGGAGGCATGGTCAGTCGGGCACGACGCGTACCGCACCATGGTCGGGTACAAGGCTGGCGAGAAGGACGTGTCCTGGCGCACCGCTATGAAGCAATCCTCTAAGTTGGCCATTTCCGTCTTCGAGGAGTGCCTTTTCAAGGTGGACTACGATTTGCAGATCAAGCAGCAGAAAGATCCAGGGCTCGCCGGTGGGGGAGATTCTCGACAGGTCCCCGTTGAAGGAGAAGATCGACGCCATCTACACGGCCCTCGTGGCGGAGGGAGACGCTGTGCCGCAGGATGACGCCACCGAAGTCACGATGCAGGACCTCGTGGACTCCGACGAGGAGGATGAGTTCACAGGGGACCCGATCAAGAGCAAGCTGACGGATCCCAAACTGCAGGATGCGCTGAAACCCTTTTCGAACTTCGTGAAGAACAGATACAGCCGAGTTGTGAAGCTCATCGTGGACCCTGGCTCCCCTACAGGCGTGGCGGAAGCGCTTTCAACGTGGTGGAAGGGGCTCGATATGGAGCTTGGCAGCGACCAGAACGTCGTCGTCATCTACGACACCAAGCTGTCTGGGCACCCGAATGCTCGCGGGCATCTCCGCATTAATCATTTCAGGGACCAGCACTACGACCGCATGATCAAAGGATCGCTGGCTGCCCTGTGTCGCGACGATCAGCCGGACGATGAGATGCCCTGGAACGTAATCTACAACATCTTCGACGGCGGAGTTCACGGCAACGAGCTGAAGTTCGGCAAGGCCTTCCAGGGCAAGGATGGGAAGGCGCTCAAGAAGGATAAGCGCATCCTCTTCCTGCAGACCACCGAGAAGTCCTTGAAGGAGACTAAGGGCAACTACTCTGGTGTCTACGGGCTCCCCACGATGGAGTTCGTTTTCCAGTTCAGCAAGGGCTCCGAGATCCCCGAGAAGAAGAAGCTGCACAGCGAGGGCACCAACAAAGACCCAGTGATTGGAAAGTTCGACAAACCAACGAAGACCGATACGCTCACGTGGACGGTCAAGCACAGCGATAAGCCGAGCTTGTACGGTTCGGCGTGGATCCTGGCCGGAGGGGCAGTCGCCGGTGACGATGCCAAAGCCGACCCTGGGCCGAAGGGCAAGGACATGGTGCCGTTCAACTACCATGGCATGAACCCGCACGTCTACGACGAGGTCACCAGCGGCGTGAACGGCGTGGCCAACATCGACCTCACGGGCTGCAACGGGGTGCACGCGATGCACTCGCTGATCAAGGACGTGCCGTACTTCGGAGTGTGCTACACTGAGGAGCAGAAGGTATAGCGGTCAGATAAACTATCTCCTCCACCTCCCCCTCCCCCTCCCCCGCCCCCCCCCCCCCCCGACGGCCCATGGGCTGAGTATTGTAGGGTCTGTGCCATGAGGTAGGATCATGAGTGATGAATAAGAGAAGCTCTGGATTGGGTCTGTTGGCAGGGTCGGGGCAGTTAGCTTTTTTGTTGTTTGTTTTCAGCGATGGGGCCGACGACGACGTCGACGACGTCGACGACGACGACGGCGGCGACGCTGACCCTCACCATCTCGACCTCCAAACCTGCATTCCAAACCTAATGCTGATCCCAATGCAAATCATACCGCCCCTTGTCGTGGCTTGTTTCGTTAGTAACCCTCCACCCCCTTATTAGCTCGGGTTTGCTGTGCCCTGAAGGTCCAGATGGAAAAGTTTCTTCAGAACACGATGTTGAAGCTGATGCGCGCCCCTGGCCACCCGCTCTTCGACCAAAGCTTGTCTGATATAATCAACAAGAAAGATGCGCCGACGCCGGGCCCGAAACAGCCGTCCGAGGAGGACAAAGTCACGCCCCCGCCCAATAAGAAGCCCAAGACCGAAACCAGTGGGGGCGACTTGCAGAGTGCCCTCGCGGAGAAGCTTGCGACTCTGGATGCGTGAGTGGTCCGCCGGCGCCGTTCGCCCTCCTCTCAGTCTCAGATCCTCATCCTCCTATGGCGCTTCCTCGGCGCTGCTCCTCCCCCTCCTGCTCCTCCTGCCTCCTCCTCAGCCTCATGCAGTCCCCCCTCTTGGCTCTGCGTGCTCTAAAGGGGCAGCGATGCGCGACGGTGTAGCAAGGGAGCCCTGAGAGAAACAGCTGTTTCATATTATAGGGCGAAGCACCCCGCATGCGCTGTGATTCAGATTTCGCTCGAAAGACGTTTGGGGAAATAGGTTGCCCTCCAGAGGTAAACCTGAGCAAAAAACAAGTAACCGCGGCCATGGGCAGCCTTTGCAGCTCGAGGAAAATATGATCGTCCTCCTGTTTGGCCCTCCTCGACGGGAAGAAGACGTGGAGGAAAAGGAGAGGAGAGATGATGAGTGAGCGAGTGAGGGAGCGGGGCGAGGATGAGGAAATGAGGAGGATATGAGGAGGAGGTGAGGAAATGAAACGATGATAAGGAGGAGGAGGAGGAAGGAGGGAGGAGGGCGGAGAAGGAGGGGCGCGCCAACGGGCCTTATTTCGAGTTCGTCTTCACTGCGCAGGCCGCCCGCGCTTTTCTGCAGCCGGGGCCCTTCCAGGAGGAGGTGGAGGAGGACCTCCTCCTCTTCCTCTTCATCCTTCTCCTCCTCCTCCTGCCCCATTCCATTCGTTGTTGTTGCCCAACCGAGCGGGGGGCGCTCTTTCTCATCGAGTCTCCCTCCCCTTTCAGGTCTCCCCCCAGTTGCTTCCTCCACTTCCTATGTTCTCTGGCCTTATCCCCCGTCCCCCTCCGCCCTCCTCCGCGTCGCCACTCTCGTACTCGTCGTCGTCATCGTCGTCGTCTGTCTTCCATCTTGTTGTTGGGCGTCTCTAGGTTGATGCCGCATGCTGCAGCCGTTTATGCCCAATGTGTTCAGGGCTGTTGCGGCCGCAGACAATTCAATACCAACATGGATTTGGATTGGGGACTTGCAATGACGAGCGCTCCGCCGACGACGGCGACGGGCGGCCGGGCACCCGCGCAGGCCAAAGCTAAGCAGTCGGCCAAGAAAACCATTCAGAAGAAGCCAGCGGCTGCTAGCATCCACCAGCGGCCAGCGGCTGCGTCTAAGTCTACCAATGCCAGGGGCCTTCCTACCGCGTCTAAGGGCAACTTCAATATGCCAGGCGTCACCCTCGTCGGCTCGATCTGCTCGGGCATGGGGGCGGATCATTGGGCGCTCGATGCGATCCGTGGCTACGCGTTTGAGCACGTGTTCTGGTGCGAGAAGGACAAGAAGGCTCAGGAGTGGTTGCGGGCGAACGTCTATGTTGCCTATGAGTTTGATGACGCCACCAACGGCTTCGTGGACAATGCGCCCTACGTGGATATCCTGACCACTGGATTCCCGTGCCAACCCTTCAGCCTAGCTGGCCAACACTTGGGCACTGGTGACCCAAGAGGCAACGTCGCGAGGTACATCATCCAATACATCGAAAAGCATCAGCCTCGCGTGATCTTGCTGGAGAACGTGCCGGGCTTGGCGTCCAAACACAAGAGTACGCTGGACACCATCGTGAGGAAGATCAAGGCCATCGTTGACAATACAAGGGGGGGACGTGCTACGACGTGTTCATAGACACGCTCAACTCACTCGACGTCGGATGCGTGCCACAAAATCGAGAACGTGTCTATATCGTGGCCGTCAAGCGCATGGGCCGGAATGCCATCAAGTTCGACTGGCCAACGCCTGTGGCGCCGCTGAGCTTGGACATTATTTACGACTACCCGCGCCCGCCTGTCGTGGATTACAACGCCTACCCCATGGAGATGTTCAGCCCTATGGTGCAGCGCCACATCTCGCAAGCCTTGGAGCGCATCAAAGCCAAGGCCGATGATGAAAACAAGTCAGCGACGGATTACGGCGTGATCGTGGATATGGGCAGCACGAAACTCAACATGGCAATCGGCTACTCCCCGTGCCTCACCGCTACCAGATGCAAGGGCCGCTCCTACATGGACCTGCAGACGGCGAAACGCTTGACTTGTACAGAGATGATGCGGCTGCAGGGCTTCACCAACGACGAGATTGCTGGCATGGATTTATCATCGCATTCGGACTGGGCACTGGGCTCCATGATTGGCAATGGCTTTACTAAGACGGTCATCCAGCGCATAATGAAGGCAGCAATCACGGCTGCCGAGAGGCCGTTCTGAGATGTTGGTGGACGGCGCTAGGGCACTACGCAACAATTAAGATGCGCCTGGCCATTGCCGGTGGGGGCGCATGCGTCTCGACGTTGGTCTCAGCGACTGGCGCTTTAGGAGGCCCTCAGACGCCTCCGACTGGGGATTGGAAACACTGCAACATGCCTGTCTCGTCGCGTCGTCGTCGTCGCCGCCGCCACCGCCGCCGCAGCCGCCGCCGTCGCCACCGCCGCCGCCGTCGTCGTCGTCGTTACGCTCCCTCCCGCTCCTCCTGCCTCCATCCCCTCCTCCACTTCACCCTTGTCCTCCCCTCCTCCTCCGCGGACCTCTGTCCGACCTGGATCCCCCTTTTCTCTCGCCCTCCTCCTCCTCATCCTCTTCCTCCTGGCCCTCCTGCCTGAGCCTGGGTCCTTCTCCTCAGAGCCTCCTCCTCCTCATCATCATCCTGGGGGCGCCGTCGGTTTCTGCCAGTCGGGAGCGCCGCGCCGATATGCGCGCCCGATTCCTGCCAGTCGGGGGCGCCCCCGACGCCTGCCAGTCGGGAGCGCTCCCGATTTCTGCCAGTCGGGAGCGCCCCCGATTTCTGCCAGTCGGGGGCGCCCCCGAAGCCCCCGATTTCTGCCAGTCGGGAGCGCCCCGAAGAGGCTCCGACTGGCAGAACCGATTTGCTGGCCAGCACATCGGTTCTGCCAGTCGGGGGCGCCCCTGACTGGCAGAACCGATTTGCTGGGGCACGGCATCTGCTCAGCACATCGTTTCTGCCGGCCGCCAGGGGGCCCAGCAAATCGTTTCTGCCAGTCGGTGGCGCTCCTGACTGGCAGAACCGATTTGCTGGCCAGCAAATCGGTTTTGCCAGCCAGAGCCCTTTTCGATCAACCCCTCATCGCTCCCTACTTGAGGGGGTCGGGAGCTCCCTACTTGAGGGGGTCGGGAGTGCTTTGCACTCAGTTCGTCAACCAGTTTCCCCAACCAGTGCTTGCGCCCTGTGAGAGGCCCCCTCCCCAAGTTTCAAACTGCGCCTGCAAGACCGCGTCGCCGAAGGCCCCGCGAAATGTTCCCCAAACAGTGTTTGCACCAGAAACAATGACAGTGAAACGACGTGGCTGCCACCTCATCCCTCCCCCTCCTCCTCCTCCGTAGCCCATTTTGGCTAAGGCATCTCGTCTCGGCGAGGCTAACACTGCTGTGTATCTGTATATCCATTGACGAAGAACACGCCACTCGTCTCGCCATGGCTGATTCTCAGTATCAGGGCCTGACTGATTCTCTCGCAGGGGAGCTCGCCGAGGATTCCCAAGTTGGGCATGGATCATCATTGCATTTCCACGGCCAGGATGGCGATACCCTACCGCAGTTCAACCATCGCGACTTCTTGGAGGAGACACAGCCTGAGGAGTTGCCCGAGCCTGAGCCGCAGGCGCCACCGTCGTCTCAGGCGTCCCTGGCGTCGCGCCTTGTCCCAACTCCCTTGCGCGTGGCGGGCCCTGTGATCAGCCACAAGGCGGCGCGTCACTCGGTGATTGACAAGACGATCGTCGAGGTCGAAGACGAACCAGATCCGTCGGCAGTGGCAGCCATCAAGTCGCCGCCACCACCGGTGGCGACGCAATCACCGCCGCCAATGCCAGCCACCCACCAGTCGCCGCCGCAGGCAGCTTCGGCGGCCGCTAAGCCCAAGCCGCTGACGCCGCCGCCGACGCCGGCGACGGCCGCCACGGCGAAGGCATCGGGGGGCGCGGCGCCAGGGCCGCCGTCGGTGACAGCCGCGTCGCCGGCGCCGCCGGCGGTGAAGCCATCGCCGCCTTCAGCGGCGACGGCGGCCCCAGGCCCAGCATCCTTGCCGCCGCCCGATGGGGCCGACCAGCGGGAGCTGCTGAGGAGGCGATTGACCGTCGACGTCGGCAGCGGGGCATCGGCGGCGGCAGGCCCAGCGCCGCGGGCACCGCTGGTGGCGATGGGCAGGAAGCGCCATGCCAGCGACGAGGAGAAGCAGCTGGCCAAGACGGCGGCGAAGCTGATCCGCGGCGAGCCTCGCGAGAGGCGCGCCGCCATCCAGGTGGCCCACGTCTACGACAAGCGCAGCTCCATGCCGCACAATGTCCACGAGGTGTTTCGCATGCTGTGGCAAGAGAACGTCCGTGAAGGTTTCGTCGAGGGCTCGAAGAACGTCGTCTTCTCTGTGAACTACAAGATCGAGGGGAGGCAGGCTCAGGAGTCCATCGGAGACCAGCAGTATTGATTGCGGCATCGAGACGGGGAACAGCTACACCAGATAGCGCAGTACGTAGTGCACTCTTGGACGGCGAGAGGGTGCCAGACGCGCATGCCCGCAGCAACGCATTATTTGATTGCCTTGGTTAATATTTCATGTTGCATGCAGCGTGTGACGTACAGTTTGAAATTCTCTGCCGCTGAGCGGCGCAGCGAACCAGGTGCCGGGAGATAATATGACACCGCCAGAACCATCTCATCCTCATCGCCATCATCATTTCCATCCTCATCATCACCATCGTCAATATCACCACCATCATCATCGACAGCCTCGCGCCCCCTACCTTTCAAGCCCCGGGGGCGCAACAAACAACGACAACAACAACCAGCAACCGACGCGCGAGTTAATGTTGTGTCTTGGGGCCTCTTGGCCTATGTTGGAAGCCGTCTTGAGCACTCGTGGGCCATCCTGGGCCATCTTGCATGCCATCTTGGGCCCTCTCTCGGAGCCATCTTGGGCCATCGTAGACGCTCTAACCCCGCGTGGCGAACGCCCCCGAACACCTCGGGGAGGGGCGGGGGAGAGTGAATACGTTCTGGGAGAGGAAAGAAGGACCTCGCCAGACCACCTGTGCCCAAAAGGCTGGTGGGATACATGATGGACCCCAAACAGTGGATTCCTACGAGCAGGCCCCCCAAATAGTAATGCGAGTGGACCCCGAACAGTTCTTGCCGGCGTGGACACCATACAGTGCGTTGAACGGGCAACATACAACAGCCGACAGACGTACAAACGAACAAACGAGCAGCAACAGACACATCGCAGCAATACTGGCTCAGACAACCGAGCTGCGAGAGTCGTCTGGATACTGGATCAACGACTTATGACGACTCTCATTTCAGGATCCAACATCTCATTTGTTGACAAAGTGACGTGCTATTGTGCATCTAAGACGACTTGGATCCGTATCAGCGTCCCTCGGGGAACGAACCCGAACTACCCAGATGGGGTCGAGGTTGGCAAGGTCGTGCAGGCCATCAAGGATGACATTTCGAGTTACATGAATGCCACGCTCTTCGTCTACCCAATTCGCGACGGGGCCGCGTCGAACGACACGGTGGAGAATTACGACCCGCCGGGCGAGCCCAGCGGCGTGTCCCCTCTCTGGGACGAGTACGTGGTCCACAAGGGGACTCGCCTGTACATCTCCACCACGGAGTTCATGTCCGTGGGCAACTCGCCGCTGTCCCCGATTTCAGAAGTCGCTGGAGTTGACGTCGAGCCGTACCTGAAGTACCAGATGTGCATCCAGGATCTGCTTAAGTGGGACACGATATTCGTGCCCAACCCAGCCTTTGGCGTTAAGGATCCTGGGGAGGAGGACCTGTGCACTACAGCGCTGATCGTCAAGAGGTGCTTGGTGTCAACCCTGGGCCACCCGAAAGGCGCTGTGAACGACCTTCGCCTGTTCAAGAACTCCAAGGGCTACGCGAAGAGGGATCCTATCGTTCACAATCAGGTCTTATGGCCCAACCCGTGGTACTACGTCGTGCTCAATCCATCTGCGAAGCCCTGGAGGTGCTTCGATGATAAGGTGGCTGATCGTCAATGGCCATCGCCGGAGGAGGGTGACGCCGATGCCTGCGACCCAGGCTGGGAGGATTGTGGTGATGTCGAGCCTACTGCTTAGTTGGCTTAGCATAGCTGACCTGCGCGACAGTGACAGGCACGGTCAGTAAGCTTTTCTTCGCTGTAAGAGCTCACCTTGCGGGCTGACGCCTGCCCAACTCAGAATTATCAGCACGACCGCGTTGCTTTTGCAACACCGATGCCTCAACGAATGAAAAACACATCGTCATTCCTCGCATCATCCTCCGCTATTTCCCCTTGACCGCCCTCCACGACGATAACGACGCCACGACGATAACGACGACGATAACGACGACGCGAGGGACAGCGAAAGATTGGGAGAACGGAGGGGTCGGATGAGGAGGCGGCCAGCGGCCGGCGGCCCGCGACCGCCGCCCGCCTTATTTCGACCTCGCCTTCACTGCGCAGGCTGCGCCGCGGCGTGCCACCCCGCGCCGCGCGCCGCCAGGGGGCGTCGTCATCGTCGTCTTCGTAGTCGTCGTAGTTTTGCATTCCTTCCCCCCCTCCTCCTCATCCGTCGCCGTCGCCGTCCCGCTCCCCTCCTTCTTCTCCTTCCTTGCGCCCTCGCCTTGTGAATCATGTCCCTGTGCCCGCTCCTATTTCCACCTCCTCGTCCTCCTCCTCGCCACCTTCCTCCCCGCTCTCCATCCCCTTCCTCGACGTCGGCGCAGTGGGGGTCGAGGTCCCCGCGCGACACGATGCGCGCTTCGTACATGCCTCGTGAAACCAACTAGACATCGTGCGATAACCAGTGCCCCTCCCGTGTGCCCTAGACGCGTCTTCTACGCACTTATGGCAAGATCATTGTCGACGCATGGGCCTCAAACAGTTTAGTCGCGCAGCGGCTGCAGCGCATAGTTCAGAATTGTGGTGATACAACAGGCATTAAGTGCAAGCGCTGCCTGGGGAATGATAACGTGGCCTCACTGCTCGTGCTCCTGCTCGTTTCTGCTGCTGCTGCTGCCCAAGCGTAGCCGTTTTGGCTATAAGATGGCGAAGCCTCAGCGGTTTAAACTTCCGAGCACGCTCCCCAAAACGAGATGGCAGAAGAAATTTCTCTTATGCTCCGAGCAGCCGAAGCTGGGGTCTTGGCTGTTTTTCAAGGAAGGCGGCGTTGGTTGCAAAGCGTGCCACCTGAGAGACTCTCAAGACGAATTTGGGAAAGCCGTTGCCCGGTACAGAGTGGAGCGCTTTGAGGCGCACGCTCAGTCACAGGCACATAAGGATAACGCGGCTGCTTTGCTCAAGTGCCCCCATTGCGTTGGGATTGCAGACGAGCTGAGGCGCGAGCGCGCAGCGCCGACCAAGTCTGAGTTTCTGCAAGTGCTGCAAAAACGAGCGCAGGGAGGCCCTCTCAAAGCCATCAGGGGCATTGGCCACAGCAAGAAAATCATGAAAATGCAGTTCTGTCTAGCAGAGGGGCTCAGGACAATAGATCGCGAACACATTCGCAAATCGAGTTCTCTTGTATTTCATGCTGATTCGAGAAAGCACAGGTTCACTGTAAAGTTCTCCGCTGGTAGAATTGACAATCTCTGCGTTCGTCGAGGTGTGTTTGGTCATTCGGACTTTGTGAAGATCAAGGCCCATCAGCCCGATGCTGCGAGCGCATATGGAGAGGCATTGCAACAAACTATGACAAATTTCTGCACAGCTGGCCACGGGGCTCCTTATCTGGCCAAAGGCGGACCTCAGTCGCGTTTCGATCGAGAGTTGTTCGAGCACATCAGGAACATACATGAAGTTTTCGATGCAGACGCTGATCCTACTACCCAGGCGTGTGGAGACATGGTGACGAATGCGTTCCACGACAAGCCTGACTCGCTACTGCCCCGCACAAAGCTTCTGATGAAGGACGTCACGCACGCGGGAAGGAGGACCGTCCGAACCGTCCGAAACTCGCCCTGCCCGATATTTGTTTGACCTTCCCCTTAGCCCCGTTGAAACCTGAGGGGCCCCGTTGGACCTAAGGATTTTGCGTTGGGGCTTGGGTGTTTATTTTTGGTTGGAGTGGTGCCATGGCAAGGTTTTCTAAATAATGTGTCCCCAATTCTGCCCGCGGGGATCTTGGAGCGGCCATGGGACGCAATCGAAGCGATCAAGACCATCGTTGACACCATCATCATGGATCATTCATCGGTAATCCAGCGGCTTAAAAACAGTGACGCGATTCAGAGATTGTTCCAGCAATCGATTGGGCAGAATCCAGAGAATGTCGAGCTCGCCCACGTGAGGAACATGTCGAACGCCAAGCATCGTTTTGACTCTGCCCTGCGGCCCCTGATTCGCTTCATTGTGTTTTTCGATGAGGTATGTTCGCTCGCTAAGAAGGTGAGCATCCTGCGGCACGGGGCCGAGTTGGCCAAGGACTTCAACGCTTTCATCGAGTTCATGTCTGGGCCAAATGGGATATCACAAGCACTGCTCATTGGGCTCATGGCGGAGGCCGGTGAGACATCAATCGAGTTCATCAGGTTTCTGGATTCGGAGGCGTGGGGCGCTGCTGACCTGAACTATGCCCTCGCTACGTGGGCACGTAGAGTACATGTTCTGTTTATGCAACGGCAAGCCTTCTCATTGCCGAACACGTGGTCTAAGATGCTATACGCCAAGCTTGCTAAGCCAAAAGTATTTCACATCAATGGCATCCCTCACCAGATAGGGTGGGCCGGAGCTTTGCCGCAAGCTGCGGTGGCCGATGCTTACCGACACGTTCACGCTTGGGTTTCTTTGGCTATCTCTGTCATTCACGCCGAATTTCCTGCGTGGAGCGTTTTACAATCGTTTGCGATTTTCAATCCAGACCGCATTTGCAGTATTACAGGAATCGACCGAGATGCATGCCTCCCTCGTTTGGCTAAGCTGCTCAACTTGCCCGCGTATCACGTGAAGTGCCAGTGCGACGCCCTCCTACCAGTTGCCGTGACAAAGCTGAGTGTGCCTGACTGCGGAACCACGTTCGACGTGTGGCGCGATATTCTTCTAAACTGTGGTGGCAGACACCGTGAGCTCAGAGAGGTGGTGCTGCGACTTGGGACATGGAGCGGCATGACTACATCTGGAGTGGAGCACGTGCACAACATGCAAGAATGGTTGTTGGATAGAAGACGCGGTAGCCTGAACGAGTCCGTCGAGAACGACGAGATGAAGCTCGTCAACGACCTGGATGCCAAATCGATCGATATTGTCTGCGACCTCGCAGCAACTGTGTGGGCTCATTTCTATGGGTCGCCACGCACAACGGATTTCACCAAAGTGAACGGTAACGCAGGCCAGACGAGAACCTCGAACGAGAGATCTCTAGCGGGCCTGGCCCGGGAGCGTCGGGACTCAGTCTCGAAGGCATGCCGACTAGTCCATGATGAGTCTATGCCGACCTTGGGGGACATGCAGCGAGATGCCACATTATCTGCTGCCCCAATCTGGGACGCCGCTATGACAACTGAGCTCCGATTCAATGAGGATAAGCGAACGGCCAATCGCATAGCCGGCATTCGGGACAATGTTGTCCTAGATGCAGAGACGATGGCAGGCGATATACCTCTTGAAGCAAGCGTTCGGGAACACAAGATATCGCTTAGAGACGGCCGCTTGCGGGCAGCTGAACGAAAACGGGCTGCAACGGCAAAACTGGATTTGCAAATTGGGGCAGGGATGTCCGTTTACCTGCACGCGACAGGCGCAGAGAGGTGTTCGCAGTCAGCATCAGATAAGTGCGCTTCGTTGCAGCTCACTTTGGTGCATAGTGCACTGTTGGCTGATGTTATAGTGAGTTCTAACCCAGGGGGAATGCCAGATCCTATGACTTGGGCTTTGTTTTTGAAAGGTGGCACCGTCTGTACAGAGAGGTTTTTTGTGCATGGGGAAGGCGCCGCCCAACGATTCCGAGGATGCGTGTCCGTGGGAGGCACTGCCAGGAAACCTCGCTACGTCTGGCTGTCTCAGCGCTTTCAGGCGGAGCACGCGGAGAAATGTTCGGCCATGAGGCAGGCCATGGCCTTGCCCATATCCCATTGGGCTGAGCTTGACAGAGCTCAATGGTTAGTTCACGGACAGCGAGCTACAGCTGCTAAAAATTTGTCGGCGATCGGCGTTGTGGCTGAATCTCAGGCCGACGATGTAAGCGGCGATCGCTTACTGTTCACGCCGACGCAGCTGTACAAAAAGTTTGTGCAGATTGCGAACACAAGCGTTGGTGCCTGCCAGCACTGAGGATGAGTTTTGTGCGCCTTGCGGGGTATAGGTGCAAATGAAAAAAAAGCATCCCCTTTCTCTCCTGGTCCTCCCCCTCCTCATCATCATCATTATCCTCCTCCTCCTCCTCCTCATCATTTCCTCCTCCAGGGGTAGCAGCGCGCGGATGAGGAAAACGACGAGATCGATGATAACGATTATTAGAGCTTCGTCGTCGTTACCATCATCATCATCATCACCATGGCCATCATCATGATCACCATGGTTATCGTCATCAACACCATCATCAACGACCTCTTCATCGTCATCATCACCACCCTCCTCGACAACATCACGACCACCACCATTATCACACATCTAGAACCTGGAGGGAACATGTTCGAACTATCATGCAATTCGATCTTGTCATTTTGGGCCCCATCGGGGCCTATCGCGGGATATCCACCCGTCTTGGGTCTAGGGTGCTCGGGGGCTCTCAGGGGTGATCACGCGAGCCTGGCATGCATGGGCCCCGTATTAGCCTTTCTTGTCGAGTGTTTGCGTGACGTCACTGGCGCGGGCGTGCGCCGCGGCCGCCGTCCGCCATGGTGGCTCCCAGGCTCCTCAGGCCGGCTATAGTTCGTGCGATGCCGCCGCCGCCGCCGCCGAAGGCGGAAGCGGCCGCGGCAGTCCCAGCAGCGGCGGAGGAGGCGGATGTGATCGATAACTTCGCAGGCGGTGCATCGGCGGCAGACGCGGTGGCGCCGGAGCCGCTCGCTCCTCGTGCCAAGTGGACGTCGAGGCCATGCCCCGCGCAAGCCTCTGATACGGTCGGCACCAGCGCGCGCGCGGGCTCGCGATCGCGTTCGCGCGAGCGGGCCGCGGCAGACGCCTGCCCTGCCGTGCTGCCGCATCGCCCGATGCCTATGCCGAAGGTCTGTCAGCCCAAGTTCCCGCCGCCTAAGTATCCTTCCAAAGCCGTGGCCATCGCAGCGTTGGCGAAGGAGCCACCGCGGCCGGCAAGGCAGAAACCTTGGGAAGCGCTCAGGGCTGCGCTGCTTCGACAGAAAAAGATGGAGACGGCCGATGGAGGTGCGAACATGGCAGATGGAGGTACGGAGAGGGAGGTACGAACATCTGGACAGACACCTGGACACCCCAAGTGCTTGTGCTATCAGCTGTGCGAGGACCAGGTCCAGTGCAGCGGCAACAAGCAGTCTCGGATTGTGCGGCACGTCTTCCCCTCTGGGAAATTCGGGGACATCTACTGTCAAGAGTGCTGGAACAATGTTACGAGTCAGGAAGGTAAGACGTCGCTCAGGTGCCAGCTGCTCGGGCATCCGAAGTGCACACAGATGGTTCCAGACTCGTTGGAGGACCAGGAACCATATCATATTTGCATTGGCACCGAGGAGGACAAGCTCGTGCAGCACGTGTACAAAGGGGCACTCCTCGACGTGTACTGCGTGACGTGCTGGAATGGGTTCAAGAAGCGACCTAAATGGCATGATTTGCAGTGCATTAGCGTGGCCGATTGAATTTGGTTGTGAGTGTTTTCAGCGCGCATTTGGCGCGAGCCGGCATAGCGCCAGCGTTTGATTCGTGTGGCTGGGAGTGGGCCACTCGCAAAAACATATCATCGCCATCCACATCGAACATAAACAACGAGACACACCAACAACACCAAACACAATGCAAATCACAGGCACACACAAAACCAAAACAACGAACCACATCACTAAACATGCAACCTATCACACAACAACACACAGTACGCACCACACACACACAGAGCAAACCAACAAACAACCAGCGGCATTCAACAACCACGCATTCAAACCAACAACACAATAACAACACAAACAACACACAAATAACTAACACTCATGCCGATAATGCCTAACACTCATGCAGAAGCGCGCGTGTGTTGATGTTGTGTTGCAAGCTTGTATGTTTTGTGTTTTGTTCGTTGCCATTTTTTGTTGTGTGTGTGTGTGTGTGTGTGTGTGTGTGTGTGTGTCCGCGTGCGCGCGCTGGAACATCGAAATCTTCGGCGAGACGGCGATTTCTCAGTAAATTGCGAGGACGTCTTCGGCGAAAGCGCGAACCTTGAACGTCGAACGCGCGGTGTCTCAATACACTGCGATGAAGTAAGTCCCAAGGAAGGGCGCGAACCCTACGTAAATTGCAAAGAAGTCTCAAGCAGGCGGGGGGCGGTGTTGTTTTAGTCCAGGGACCATCAGCATGGTGCGTCTGCCGACAATGATGATGTAGACGGCGTTTGGGATGATGTAGACGACAACAATGGGAATGATCTTCTCTTACATAGTCATATATGATGCCCACGGTGGTTTGGATAATCATGGATGGTGATGATGGCGATGATGGAGACGATGGTGATGGTATGGTGGTGATGGAGGTGGTGATGGTGATGGTGACGATATGATCATGGTGATGGTGGCGATGACGATGAAGATCAATGATGAAGGTGATGATGATGCAATGCTGATGATGGTGGGTATGGGATACATGTGATACTTTTTAATGAAGACGATGATGACGATGCTGACGGTGACGATGATGATGGTGATGATGATGACGGTGATGATGATGGTGATGATGCGGCGGTGCTGATGGTGGCGACCACCGCCAAGGGTCGGGCGACATACCCCCCCTGCTATGGCCAGCCAAGCCCAGGCAGGCCCAGACGACCTCCCGATGGGCTCCAGGATCTCCCGAGCGCTTTGTGGGCCCCGGCAAACGGCAGGGCCGTTTTTCACCGTTTCCAAAAAAAGGTCTTTTGAACATGGAAGAGGCACAAAAACGGCGACCGGAAACGGCAAAACAACTGCTTTGGGATTGGAGCCGGAGCCGGAACCGGAAGAAAAACGGCGACGGAACCGGTAAAAAAACTACGTCGGAACCGGTAAAAAAGCGGCAACACGGAACCGGTAAAAAAACGGCCCTGTCGTTTCCAGGGCCCACTGAGCCCGAGCGGTGGCGCGAGAGAAGCCGGGGTCGCCTCGTGCCAGGGGCGGACCCTGGCAGCACCCCAGGATCGGGGAAGTGCAGACATGTATCAGGGCGCGTGGATTACGATGGGGGCGTTCGTTAGTCTAGGCCTCCTAGATGGGTTCGGAGTAGATGGGGTCGGAGGATCGCGCAGCATCACCGATGCATCGGCGATGCATCGTCGATGCGGCTCGATGTGGGACCCAATTATCCCCACGCACACGTCGCCGATGCATCGCCGACGTCGCCAGTGCATGGCCGATGCATCGGCGATGCATCGCTGACGTATTGGCAATGCGGTGAGATCCCCCGTCCCCATCTACTCGGACCCCATCTAGGAGGCCTCCAGTTCGGGAAGGTGCCCAGGAGGCTTCATCAGACCCTGGAGGATTGCATGGCCAAGCCGCAGCCGGAGTGCCACAGGCTTCCAGGCCCCGGATTTCTGCTCCAACGGTTCCTGATCTCGGGGGTGGACAGAACCCCCAACAGTGACACGTCGATTGGTGAATTGTCCGTTTTCGGTTCTCGAGAGGGCGCCGTGGCCGTTGTTTTCCAGGCTTGCGCCCGCCAGGTTTGGGCCTCAGGTCGTTTTCACTAAACCACGTTTTATTAAAGGGGGGTCTGTCCATCCCCGATGATCGCAGGCCCAGAGGTTGACACCAACACCAAGATCGGCGGTGTGCCTCCACCGAGGGATCAAGATCCCAATCTTGGAGATGGTGGTAATATTCTGGCTTCCAATGTGACCGAAATATTACCATCAACACCGAAATCCAGGATCATCTTGCCCCTGTGGAGGCAACCCCCTGTTTTGGTGTTGGTGCCAATTTCCAGGCCTCCAAGATGATCCAATGCCCTCATCCAAACGACGGGCCCCGATTCCCTGCGAGACCGACGCGCTCGGTCGCTGAAGCGGGCGGCGCCGGCGCCCTGTTTCGGGGGGGAGACCCTCCCCGATCCGTTGGCACCGGCGCCCACGCGCCAGCTCCACGGATCCGCAATCCATGCCAGCGTGTACCCAAGAGGATCGGGGGCGGAAAAGAGGGGGGTGATGACTAGGGGGGGGGGGAATATCATGGCGTGGGCCATGATATTTCCCCAGATTTCCTGCCAGCGTGTATCGGGCCGGGCGAAAGGGGGGGATTGGGAAAGGGGGGGGGTACGAAATTTGCTGCATGCAGCTGGTTTCGGCCTCACCGAGGGGCCCAGTCCTCGATGCATGGCCGCCTCCGGCGCCGGGAGGCGCCGGGAAAATCAGCTGCGTGAGCTGATTCTCACCCCCCCCCCTTTGCTATCCCCCCCTTTCGCCCGACCCGAGTGTACCCAAGAGGAGAAGTAGGAGGAGGACGCCGGCCACGTCACGATTCGCGATGGCGCCGGCCGGGAATGCTTCAGAATGTCTCGTTCCCCGACGGCGCTCTTGGCCAGGGGGGCTCTCGCGCTTTCGGAGGTCCGCGCGGACTTCTTCCATCGGCGCTAGCCACATTGGCGGGCCTCCGAAACTTTCTATCTGTGCCGAGTTGTCTGGTTCTGCCTCGCCCACCCCAGAGCCTCTGGTGGAGCGCAGCGCGATGCTGGCCGACCCGAGAAGGAGGGCGGAGGAGGTGGAGGAGGTCGCTGCGCCAAGCGCGCGGGGCGAGCAAGCGAGGCGAGGGCGCGGCCGCGGGACGTGGGCCACCGAGCCTAGCAATTCGGCGGGTGCGCGCGCGCCGAAACACAGAGCCCCCCCCCCCGACCGCCCAGAAGCCGCTTGGGGAAGGCAGCGCTCGCCGGCTGACCGTGGCTCCGGGCCGGGCTCCCAGTAAAAACGTCCTGGATGCCTCGGGGCTGGGGGGCGTTTCGACTGACTGTCTGCGCTTCGTCTCATTCCGCCTGCTCCACCTCCTCGTCCTCCCTGCATCTTCCTCCTCCCCGTCCTCCCTGCATCTTCCTCCTGCCTCCAGAGCAAGACAGCACGGAGCGCAGGGTGGGCGAGAAGACCCCTACCGCGACCCGAAGCCGCTGCTGGTCTTCGGCGGCGCGGAGGCCCGCGGCCAGGCAGAGGAGATGCTGAAGAAGCGCATCGATCAGAAGCTCGTGGAGGGCTGGGTGCACGAGGACGGACGGGGCTAGGCGCTCTAGTCGGAGGCGGACAGAATCCCCAACAGTGACACGTCGATTAGTGAATTGTCCGTTTTCGGTTCTCGAGGGGGCGCCGTGGCCGTTATTTTCCAGGCTTGCGGCCGCCAGGTTTGGGCCTCAGGTCGTTTTCACTAAACCACGTTTTACTAAAGGGGGGTCTGTCCATCCCCGATCTAGGGGCCCTCGTGGGGCCCCCTTGGGTTGGGACCATGCTGGGGCCTCGGGAGCGCCTTGCTCTGGAGGGCCGAGATGGGCCGGGGGACCCCGCTTAGTGCCCCTGGGGACTGGCGCCGCTGCTCCCGGCGCTTCGGGCAGGTCGTCGTCACGTCGGCGTACGGCGCCGCTGCGCAGGCGGACGCCCCGTGGCTTCCCGAGACCCTCGCTTCTTCGTGCGCCGCGGCCGGGCCCGGCTCGAGCGTGGTCGTGGGGGATTTGCATTGGCGCGCGTCGTACGACTTCCTGGTCCAAGCTCCGTGGGTTTCCGCCCCCGCCCCGGCCCAGCACCTCCGAAGGGACGGCCCCGGCTCGGCGCCTGGGGTCCGGGTGCCTGCCTTGGCTCGAAGATGCTGCCCCTCTCCCAGGGGTGCCCCATCACTTCGGCACGGCGTTTAAGAGGAGAAGTAGGAGCAGGAGCAGGAGCAGGAGCCAGTGGAGGGTTCGGCGTCCTGCTCTCCTCCTGCTTCCCCTCCTGCTTCTGCTCGCGGGAGGGGGGGGGCAGTCCTCCTCCTCCCCCTCGAGGGAGGCGATGCAACGGCAGGAGGAGGGCGGCGATGGCGATTCTCGATCCTCAGTGATGCCCGACCTCACCGAGCGAGTTCCACTACTCTCAAAGTGCCTACTCGCAAAGTTAAGAAGACATATAATGATTGTCTCGGTGTAGTGGATCGTAAATCCCCCGCGGCGGGTCCGGGCCGGTCTGGGCCGTTTGCGAGTAGCCACTTTGCGAGTAGTCGAGCGTGCTTGTCTACGATCCTCCTCTCGATCCTGGCTCTTCCTGGATCCTCGATCCTCCGCCCCGATGCTCCCCCCTCCTGACCTGCGCAGACAGGAGGCCACATGCGAACCCCACCTACCCCCCCCCGATTTCTGAGGCCGAGGGGGAGGGTGGGGTTCACTTCGTTCGGGAGCTCCCGAGCGAAGCGAGCCCCACCCCCTCAGAAATCGTGGGGGGTAGGGGTACAGTCGGGGCCCTGAAGAAGGAACCCTTTTGGTTGGGGAGGGGCTCCGCGTTCCTTAAGTGTTTCACAGCTTGCTTCAGGTTTTCTTCATGTTATGGAAAAAAGAGGCCTCGTTCCTTGTTTAGGGTCAACGCCCCGACTGTAGGGTTCGCATGTGGCCCCCTGGCACAGGGCCTCGCAGAGGCCGCGGGTCCCGGCCCGCTCTCAGGAGGGCGGCGAGGGCGGCAAGGGCGGCAAGGGCGGCCGAAGAAAGGGCGGCAAGGACCCCATGGAGCGTGCAAGATCGGGGCCTCGTCGTCCACGCGCCGGGGAGGGCCAGGGCTCCTCCTCCTCCTCCTCCTCCTCCTCCTCCTCCTCCTCCCTCCTCCTCCCCTCCTCCTCCTCCTCCTCCTCCTCCTCCTCCTCCTCCTCCTCCACAATTACACAATATGAATACTACTCTCCCACTTCCCCTGATGGCGTCCGGAAGATGTTCGGCACCCCCCCGCGTACTGTTTTTTTACACACAGGATTCCCCGGAGTTGGGTTTTCGCTTGTGTTTTTTTCTAAAATGCTGCTCTCGCTGAGGCGCTGGCCTAATTTTCGGGCTCCCGCTCCTTCCGAATCGTGTTCCCGCTGCAGCGCTGGCCTCATTTCCGCGCTCCCGCTCGTTCCGAATCGTGCTCCCGCTGCAGCGCTGGCCCAATTTCTGCGCCTCTCGTTGTTCCAAAACGTGCTCCCGCTGCAGCGCCGACGTTTTCGATCCTTTTTAAGAAGCCCCAAATCTAGAAAATGATCCCCGGCAAAAACATTGGAGGTGATTACACATCCGGTGTCGATTCGTTGATTTTTGGGGCCGCAGAAAGCCCCCCCCCCTTTTGGGCGGCGTCCTTTTCCGCACAGGATTCCCGGGAGTTTGGTTTTCATCTATGTTTTTGAAAATCCGAGTCTTTCCGGTCCTTCAGAATGTTGCTCCCGCTGCAGCGTTCGTCCTATTTTCCGCGCCGCTGGTCGTTCCAAATCGTGCTGCCGCTGCAGTGCAACGGTCCCCGGCCCCATGCTATGATATGCTCCGCTCCAGTGGCGTTCTTCGGCTCTTCAACAATGGTGCTCCCGCTGCAGCGTTGGTCCCATGTCTGCGCCTCTGCTCATTCCAAATCGTGCTGCCGTATTGTTTTCTTGGCACTACGGCACTCTTCGGCTCTTCAACATGTCGCTCCCGCTGCAGCGTCGGTCCCATTTCTGCGCCTCTGGTCGTTCCAGATCGTGCTGCCGCTGCAGCGCATGCGTCCCGCGTCCCATGCTATGACATACTACGCTCAGCATTGCTCTATCCGGGTGGGGGACGCGCGTAACGGCAGCGGGCAGCTGGCGCGGGTGCCGCTCCGGCGCGGTCGCGTCGTCGTCGTCGTCTTCGTCGCCGGTCGTCCTCATCGTCGTCGTCGTCGTCGTCGCCGCCGTCGTCGTCGTCGTCGTGGTTGTCGTCGTCGTCGTCGTCTTCGTCGTCGTCGTCTTCGTTTTCATCGCGCCGTCGTCCTCCTCCTTTCCCTCTTAGGTAACAGGGTCAGATGCGAAGCCCGATTCGGTGAGAGGACAATGAAGTAGCTCAATGGGAAGGGATGGGAGGGAGGGGTAGGATGTCAGATGTTGACGCGAGCGCACCTAGCTTGCCCTCCACCTCCTCCTCCTCCTCCCCCTCGCCCTCGCCCTCCTCCTCCTCCTCCTCTTCTTCCTCCTGCTCCTCCTCCTCCTCCTCCTCCTCCTCCTTCTCCTCCTCCTCCCCCTCCTCCTCCTCCTCCTCCTTCTCCTCCTCCTCCGCCTCCAGGGGGGAGCGGGGAGTCGGCGTCACCCCAACACACTTCTACTGTATGTGCGTCGCCCCCCCAGCGGCGACGCGCGCACCGAGAAATCTCATAGTATGTGTGTCGCGGCGGGCGCTTTCTGGCCACACCGCTCGGGAAAGGATATACTACAAGATGGGTATACTATCTGTTCGGGTCGGACGCGCGCCTCCAAGGATAACATATATGTAGTACTGGTATGTTTCTGTGCGTCCCAGGGAGGGTTTCTTGGAAGCGCCCCTGCTTCTTAGAAAGCACAGGCCTTGTCTATAGATGTAGGGCCTGCGCCTTCTGTCAGAAGGCACAGGCCCCTGGCACAAGGTGACTCCAGGATCTCCGAGCACGGGGGATTCTCAAGTGGCGGTCTGGGAGCCTCATTCCTCTACTAAAAGTCACACTCTCGCTTTGGCGCCGCGCACACTTTTTCAAAAACGGCATTCTCGCGTCGACGCCGTGCACAACTTGTGTGGCAGAGCACGCCTGCGCTACACGAGAGTAGAGATTCGAGACTCAGGGCTGCAGTCCACGCGCTCCCAGCGGTCTTGCCACGGGGGGGGGGGCAACAAAAACATGTTGTACATGTTCAACATGTTTTCTGTGTATTGCCAAACCCCCTCCCGATCGAATCAGCGGTGTGGCGGTAGCCTCGCAGTAGATCAGGATGATCTTATTCAAGCACTCAGCGCGAGACCGCGCCACAACATCACTCTTCACAGTAGCGTAAGTGAAACTGGCTGGCCTCCTCGAGCCGAAGCAGCCACGGGCGATGGGGAGGGCATCGAGAGAGGGCCAGGAACATGTTATTCGATTCTGGCACCATCTCCATATCGCAGACACCTTCTCCCCACCAGCAACATATCCACGTAGTTCACATGGAAGAGGTCGGTCAAGACCAGGTCGTCCACGATCGTCTCATACGTCACATGATCAAGATCAGGTATTCTGACAGCATTCGCTCAACCCGACCAGATCAATATCAGGTATTGGACAGCATTCGCGCACAACTCTTAACAAGAAACATTAGGATTCGGCCACCAGTGTATCTGATCTTTGATACTCATGCGCCATTGGCCAGTGCTGAACGCTTCCACAACTGCATTTCGTGTCACTCCACCTTTCGTGAGTGCATCTCAAAGCATATCTCTGGTATCGCATCTGAGTAATCCTGTCAACGAGCCACATTCCAGCCGGTCCCGCATAGTACGTACAGCGTACAGTTGACTCTGATCATTTGGCATTGCAATCTCTTCTGCAGTGATAGCTGTAAAGACAGCGTGAGCATCGCCCACAATATACAAACATATCCCCACAACGTTGGCAGTGGCTGCCTCATGTAGTTCTTTTGCACCACGGGACCCCGTAAGAACTTGATGCCAGAAACCGCGATGCAACATGCCCAGCTCACAAGCTTCCAACTGATTGGTGAGTTCCGCTCCAAACGTACTGCGCGTCACCGTGGGCTGTTTACGACTATAACAATCAAGCACATGCATCGATCCACCTGGAATACCACTTCTTATTTGAATCATCACAAGAATGGCAGCTCGAATCGCCAAGGAATCATCATCATCAGCACGATAAGCTGAACCAGCTATAACACACAAGCATACTGGTGGTTCCAGATGGGCATAATTGATACAGAACGGCCTTCTCTTGATCCACTTCAACAACGTATTGAGCCCTTTTATGTCTCCGACCGTGACCTTCTGACTATGCCTTTGGAATCGACCAACAAACACAGCAATATCAGCTCTCGTAAGCGTCAACCAGGCCACGCCACCAAGGAGACTCCAATAATACCTTGTAACGTACTGTCCACCAGCTCCTCATCAGGCTTGCCTGTGAACAACGCTGCGTTGATCGGCCTGAGCTGGGACACGTGATGATTCTGATATATCGCGATGGCCTTGCTCACTTCGTCTTGGGAGTGCTGGATGCCAACACATTCAAACGGTGCGATATTCACCGTCACGTCCTCATACTTCTCACGGAACTTGTCAAATATCTACTCCCGTGTATCATCACCACAGGCACCCTTCAGATTATCAACGCGAGTGCCGAGAACAGCCAACAACGCTGCATTGTCGAACAGCAGCCACAGCTGCCGATCCGCTTCGGTAGGGAAGAAACCCAGCTCCTTCAAGGTATCTGACACATTGACCTGCCACGCCCATGGGGCGTCATTCGTGCCAAAACCAGGCTTCTTCATGTTCAGCGTCTCCATGACCTCGTTGAAATTCTCGAATCCGTCTATTTGTTTGAGCAATGCCGCGCCATCAGGAGGAAGGTCAAACTGAAGACTGCGCATCTTGAATCCAAACCGCATGGCAAGTTCCTGAAACGTCTTGTCACGAAGAAGCGCCATCGAAACATCAAGTGGCCACAGTGTCCAACCATGCTGAGCTGCGATAGAACAAATCGCTCTCTGACCCCAGCGAGAAGCAGTCCCCGCAGCCGTCCTCATTCGATCCTTCTCATACTTCTGACGATCCTTGAAGCCTCTCACGGTGAGACGGCCCTTGACATCTCGCTGGCATCCTATGACTTTCTACTTGATAACCCAGCGCGACTCTATGCGAATGGCAGCGTCCTTCTTGTTCATCCGTTCAATAACACCACGAGACACCCAACGCTTGAGTTCCTTCGGCTTGGCGGCCACAACCAACTCACGATGCTTCTTCATCTCTGCCGCCGAGAGGTCATTGAGATCGCGCTCGATGACCGGCGAGGTCTGGGTCTTGAAAACATTCATCACCAGCGCGCAATTCTTGGCCATCGCGCTCGGAGTAAGCCCGAGTCGCCAAGCCTGTCTGCGTGGAAACTCAATGCTGATGGGCTCGTCCAGGTCCGCGTCCGTCAGCTCCACCGCCGGGGCCTGTCCGCCAAGATACACATGGGCGGCAGAAGAGGCTTCCATTTCCATGCAAACGAATGTCCAGAATAGATCCTCTTGCTCGGCCTCCGCGTCCTCACCATCAGCTCCAGTGCTCTGCTCTGACTCCGTACCTCTCGCATCCTCTGACGGTTCGTCGGGAACATGCGGCAAACAAGGGGCGACATGAGGCCGAGGATTGCCACTTCCTTCTGAACCAGTTCATAGTTGTCTCTTGCGATCACCCGGTGACTCAATAACTTCCTGACGATCGAAGCGACAAGCCTTGCTCCGTTGCTCTTCATCAGAGGGTTCGCTCCTGGGTCGGCGCGCGCCAGGCAAGCGCGCGCCAGGGGGCAGCGCTCCCTCGTCGGGGTCGAACTGTTCATACATACGCCCGAGGTGCGGGACATCGGGAACCACTTGTCGAGCCAACTCGATCTCCTCGAGAGAAACAATGAAGAACTGGAGAAACACCATATCTAGCCAATCGTTTCCGAATAACTTCGGAAGGGGCAGTCGTACAGTGCCAAGAGCTTGCTGCCAGTGCCAATCGAGTGGACATCCCGACTTCCAGAAAATAAGCAACGTCTCGTCGACGCCGGACATGCACTCGAGGTTTTTGGCACCATGTCCCAGACGGCCGCCGCTGCAGCCTTGAAGTCGCAAGTCGCATGATGCAACATGCAGCATAGCATGGAAGATGATGGGGTGCTTGGCACATTGTCTCGAAAGCTTCCAGCCTGTTGAAGTGCTCACGCACGCTACGGTGGCCGCCCCCCTTTCGATACTCTCGGCAAACTCCTGCACTAGAGACAGGGGAAGCCCCCAATGCTGTCGGAAGTGTTCGGCGGCCACCATCACAGACATGGTGAGCGCATGGCGAACATCAGCCAGACGACAGCTGATGGTACGGGACTGCCACTGTACGTCCACCACGCCTTCACTGATACGATTGATATTCACGACCGTTGCAGGGCCCCGCCAACCCGAGACGTCCTTGTTCGGCGGGTCCCTCCAGACGTCGACCAAATCTCCGAGTTGTAAGTTCTGGCATTCACCTGCCAGGCGCGTGCGAGACTGAAGAGCACGATCCATGCGCTGATGAGCTGACGAACCCACAACATCACCAATAGCCATCTCACGAAGCCGATGGACATGGCGCGAGACACCGTCGATGCCGTCATCCATGTCTTCCAGCGCCGTAGCCGAAGCCGGCTCCAGATCAGTCAACATCGGGATGATGCCACCAAGCACTGCCTTGTAGGGTGTAATGTTGCCAGTGATAGCGATCATTCAATTCTTTGCCAGCACACACTCATCCATAATGGCTTCGTCGGGCACAGGAACACCATCACGAGCACACTGCTCGTCCACAAGATGTAACTGCTTCCGGAGTAATTCGTGATGCCTTTCCACCATTCGTGCGTGAGCGCCTCGAGGGCGAAGGTTGAGCGTCAACTGCCAACGAGAAGCCCATGCTCGCGCCTCATCGCTGTCTAACGCGCCTTCACGGTCAGAAGTCAGTACGACTGGCGCGCCGAACAGCCTGAACCAGTAGTGCGCGACGGCCGCGATGATGGTGCTGGTGACGCGATCTGGCAAGATGGCCGCCACAGAGAAACGCCCTGGGGTGTCCAACATGCGCATCACTACTTAGTCCTCCAGAACAATAGATCGATTTGAACGTCTTCATTGAAATCCGTAATAACTCAGCTGGTCGCAATTGGTATCCTGCCAGGGCGGTGCCAAGCTCGGCATGCCAGGCCCGTGTCACAGACAACCTGTATGAGATCGATTGCTTGCTCAGGAGCTCCAGCCGCGATGAGCATCTCCTTGAGCCGCAGCGCCGGAGCATGCCACGTCCTGATATGCAGCTTCCTGAGAGTTCTCCTAATGATCATGGGATTCTGACTTGTCAACGACCTCATGGCAGCCCATGGACCAATCAGACCAGTCAGCTCCTTCCGCATCTGCCTGCACGCCTATCGCGGATCTGGCTGCCCGAGCTCGTCGCTGTGCTACTGGCTGTTGCACTCGAGCGGGGTCATCCGCAGGGACAGCGAGCACATCGTCACCCACAGCAGCATCCACTCCCGGCGGTCGGACTGGCGGTTGAGGCGGCGGCCGCGCCGCTCCAGCGTCTGGCGCGACCTCTGGCGCCGGCAGTGCCGGCGCAGGTGCAGCCGACGAGGAGGAAGCGGCAGGCGCAGCCGCAGGCGCCAGAGGTGCTGGCGTGGGAGCAGCGGGCGACGAAGACGAAGGCGACGCCGCCACATCAGCTCCTGCTGCGGCCTCCAACGGCGTCAAGTGTCCACCTCCTGGGTCATCAGCAGTTGGGCCCTGATGTGCCGGCACTCTCGCACCAGCGGCACGAGCGGCGGAGGCGCCCCCTGCAACGCCACGAGCAGCTGCGGCTGCTGCACGAGCTGCGGGCCGATCTCGAGACTCCGCCCATTGCCAACGGCACCTGGCGTCAGCAAGATGCCGCGGGTCAGCGCGAGGAACTCCGGCCAC